GAGAGAGAGAGAGAGAGAGAGAGAGAGAGAGAGAGAGAGAGAGAGAGAGAGAGAGAGAGAGAGGGGGGGGGATTGGGAAGGATTTTGGTGTAAATCTGCTGTAAATCTGGCGAAAATGGGAGAAATTCCACATCCCCTTGCGGGGAAATCGGGGCTGGGGAGACCGTTTGCTCCGCCTGGATGGCGATGGAAGGCCGGGCAGCGGATGACCGACATGTATTTCTACGCTCCGGATGGAAAGGCTTTTAGATCTCGAAAGAGTGTCGTCGAGCATTTGGAAAAGGAAGGTCTGAATCATCTCCTGCCTGAGTTCCACTTCCGGTGCACGATCGCCGATCTTGAAGAGTACTACATCAAGGTTGGCCGAATGGTTCGACGACAACCTGTTGTCCTCTCATCCTCTTCGCCGGGAGGAGGCCACCATTCCTCTGCTGCTGCTGCTGCTGCTGCTGCTGCAGCCAATCAGGTCCCTATCAAGATCGTTGAAGTAGATGAGAACGAAGACGAAGCGACCCCTCCCCGCTCAAATGATTCACCCCGGGACCACTTTTCTCAAGGCACAAAGAGGAAGTTTTCTGCTGCCCTTGTCTGTGACGAAGGGCCAGCAGCAGCAGACCCCCCGGGGTCCGACCTTGCCCTTCCGCAGAAGGCCTTTCCGAGAGCAAGAGCAGGAGGCGTCTCTGGAGCGTCCACGACGAAACAGCAGAGAGTTGCAGTTGGCAACCTGCAGCACGCTGCCGTCGGAGGACTGCCGCGGAAAGATGGGCCCGCCTGGGCTGGCGCAGGCGGAAGACCGGCGGCATCGGGATCGGGAGTGGGAGGAGCGGTGGATCATCGCGATGGACAACGATTCACCCGCCATCACAGCCGTTTCGGCCAGGACAGTAGCACGGCCGTTGCGCGGGCTGCTGCTGCTGGCGTGGGGAGGAAGAGTGGTGTTTCTGCAGGTCAGGGTCAGAATAGACAAGCAGTGGGTGGTGTGGGAGGGGGAGGGGGAGGTGGAGCGCAGAAGACGGGTCTGCAGAGTCTCTCCGAGTCGGAGGATTTGCAGGACAGGCAAAGGAATAATGGACAGGTGGCGGGAGGGAGGAAAAAGGTGGTGGTAAGGTACAAGGGCTCTGGAGTTGTGAGAAACAGTAGGGTAGGTGTGGAATTTGCCAGTGGGAGCGAAGGGCTTGCTGTTAACAGAAAGCGTGGCGTCTTTAGGAATGCCGGATTGCACCCTGCGGACACCGTTGATGGCCGGGAAGCGATGGACATGGATGAAGGCAAAGGAGAGGGGGAGGTTGGTACGGGAGAAGAAGAGGAGGAGGAGGAAGACACGACGGAAGAAGGGTCGGTGGACGTGCGATCGGTCGAAGAAATGGGGTTGAAGGAGCTAGTGTTGTTGCCGAAGAAGTGGAAGTGTGTGCTGGAAGACTCTCCGTTCATAGATAGACTAATGATGGAAGCGAAATCGATGAAGGAAGTGAGAACGGGAGCAAAAAAGGGTGCGTTTAACGAGTGCAGAGGCATTCTGCTTCGCAAGAACCTGACGAGACGGATGTTGGCGGTGGTCCCCACAGGTCTGCTGAGGACCTTTGCCTTTCTGCTTCGCAACGAGGAACCGAAGATCACGGTGGATCGTGCGAAGCTGATGGCTTTGTGTGTCAGATGGGCTTGTAAAGGGCGCAATTACTGGTGCGCCTTGGAGGCGGGGGGCCACAAATTGCCGGAGAAATGGAAGAAGGCTGCGGCGGAGCGAACGGTGGGCGTTGGCGGCAGTGGTGGTGGGGGGGACAAGAAGAAGACGATCGCCGCCATCTGTGACTGTTCGAGGTGCGCGGCGGACAGCAACTTTTGTAGAGGCTGTATGTGTGTGGAATGTGGGACGATCATTCGGCCAGGGGAGGACTGGAGGGCACTCTTCTGCGAGAGGATTGTCAGGTCTGCACCTCTCGACGGTCGCTGCGGGCACTGGATTCATCTGAAATGCGCGGTCCAGACCCGGATGATGATGATGATCCAGCAGGGAAAGAGGGCTTCAAATAGCGTCAGGATTGATGGGGCTAAGGGTGCCCCAGGTCAGGATGAAGGTGGTCGATGTGGGCAGCTGAAAGAATGCTCCCTGGGGGCAACTGCTGGTGGCGATGAGTCTGGTGCCTCGGCTACTGCTGCTGCACATACGTCAGTGGCAGCAGCAGCGGCGCCACCAGGGGGAGCATCTGCGGCAGCGTCGGGAGCAGCGGCAGCGGCGTGTAGTGCATGTGCGGGCGAGTACAGTGTAGAGAGGTTCCTGATCGCAAGGTTGAGGAATGCGATGGAAGCAGAGGCCCCCCTTCTTGCGGAACGACACCTGTCGTCGGCTGTGCTAGCCTTGCGGCTGATGTCGCTGTCCTCCAAGGACCAGTTGCAGATATGGGGTGAAATGCAATTCATCCAGATTCAAGAGCACATTGAAACCGCGTGGAAGACTGCAGCGCAAGGGAAGCTGTCGGAGCTGAAATCTGCAGAGCTAGCGGCGGTCATCAAAGCCGTTGCCAGGAGCCTTGAAAAGGCCCCATGTGAAAACAGTGGCAGCATTAGAGGGCAAAGCAGCTCACCAGAGCAACAGCAAGAGGGTCTGAAAGCCCCTGCCGAGGAAGGGCAAGCAGCTCCAGCTGCAGCAGCAGCGGACGAAAAAGCTGAGTGTAGCAGCGAGAGCGAAGGGCAAGGCGACGGCACAGAGGGCCTGCCGAAGGCCGCGGCCACAGTCATGGCCGTGAAAAAGGCAGAGAGGGAGCTGCAGAGAGCGGCCGCCAAAGCGCGCGCGGACACGGAGTGCTGGACTAAGGCCCGGCAAGCTCTCGACCTGCAGCAGTTGTCAGTGCAGCGTGCCATATCGGACATGAAGGAAGCGCGTGAAACAGCGCGACTCTGTAGGAACGCCGGAAAAGAGTCCCTTGTCGTGCTCCGGACGAAAAGGCGAGAGCTTGACGTGGTGAAACAGCAGCTGTCTGATGTCGCTTGGGACGACAAGACACTGGGCGCTCTGCAGACTCGCGCGGGCCTTGAACTGCAGCGGCTAGGTCTTCTCCAGATGGATGTGTTGGAAACTCAAGGCCTGCTGGCGGGTTCAGATGCAGAGCGATGCAGTGGAGAAGGAGGGGAAGGAGATGAGGACAGCTCCAGCAAACAGGATGCTGCTCCCTCTTCTGCCGATCTTCCATCGGAACCGGACAGTACACCGGGTGGTTCGGGTGCCGGTTCCGGTCCTCGTGCCAATGCAGAGAATGGGCACGAACAGCCTGGGAGTGGCGCCGAGAATGGTGCGGGCGCCGAGAACGCCCATTCTCAGGAGCAGGAGCAGGCGAATTTGGAAGATGACTTAGATGCGCGGCTCGGGTTGGCTTTGGGAAAGTTCTCTGAGCACCTCGAACAACTGAAAAGTCTCTTTGAGAAAATTGAGCTGATGCAAGCCATATAGGCGTGCATCTGGATTCAAACTTGGGTCTGTATTTCGACGTTCCAACTTCGAACCCAGATGCAAACCTATATGGCTTAGATTTGTTTGACGATGAGCCATCTTTTGTCGGATACTGTGGAAATTGGACCAGATGCAGTCTCTAAATGTGCCAACACTACCTGATGTCAATCAGGAGATTAGCTCCAGAATGCTATCCGTCGATGGAGTCGTGTGTGTGTCTCAGAGAGAGAGAGAGAGAGAGAGAGAGAGAGAGAGAGAGAGAGAGAGAGAGAGAGAGGTTATGCCAGATTAGGTAGGCGTAGAGTGACGAAGTTGAGCTATGGTCAGTGGATAGGGAAGCGGCAGGGCAACTAGTTGGACGGCGACAGTCTTGTGAAACAGCCCAGGCTGCGTGTTGGAGCTGAGGTTGCATGTGACATAGCTGAGGCTGAGGTGGGGGGTTGTGAATACAGGTGAATAGTAGAGATGTTGAATCGATCTTGATCGACTAGAGACGAACAGAACAGAGAGATGTGCAATTCGATGGACGCTTGCTTGGAGGGAGGTGAAGGGATCTTTTCACCTCCGGCTGTCTGTTTGTGTGTCATTCTCATTCTCCTTCTTCATCCCTCGTGGTAAGGATTGCAGGAAATGCTTTGCGTTGTTTATCTTGTAGCTTTTGCGAGCAGGATGATGGAGTCTTGATGATCACAGTGAGCGAGCGAGCGAGAGAGAGAGAGAGAGAGAGAGAGAGAGAGAGAGAGAGAGAGAGAGAGAGAGAGAGAGAGAGAGAGAGAGAGAGAGAGA